TTGGGGTTAGTTGAGCATAGTGGCTAAACTTGTTCTGTCACTAAGACAATTACCATTAACTTCCAGAAATTAATTATTATTTTTAAGATTTGGATTTGATTCTGCTGAATTTGTTTCAGTCTCCTTAGCATATTCTTGTCCTACAGACTCTAATGTAAAAATTTAATATACATTGAAACATATATATGTATATGTATATGTATATATATATATATATATATATATATATATATATATATGCAAGTCGAAAAATAAAAACATAACGTAAATATAAATCTTTTTTAATACGTTTCGAGCTATTCTGCTAGCTCATCATTCAGCAAACCAGTTTTATAAATTATTAGACATACCAAAATTATTTTATACAAAATTTGACAATTAAAACATAAATCATATAAACAAATGACCACTGCGGCTGACTTGGCAGTACTCCATTCGATCCACCCAATTTTTGAGCACATTTTCGATTGTTTCGGGCATTATCTCAGAAATAGCAGCTTGAATTTCGGTCTTGAGGTCTTGAATTGTTTCTGGATCGTTGGCATAACCGCTCCCCAAAGATAATAATCCAATAGCGTCAAATCGCAGCTTCTTGGTGGCCAATTCACATCAGTCACTCGTGGGTGCAGTGGCTTTCTCTACGACGACGTGCGGGTTTTCTGTGCCCCAGATGCGACAATTTTGCTTATTAACAAAACCACCGAGGTGGAAATGAGCTTTAACTTATGTAGGGTAGAGCGGGGCTAGTTGAGCATAGGGGCAAGTTGAGCAATCGAAATATCTCGAAAACTATTCTCCGCCCGTTTAGGCATTATATGGCGGAAAGATAGAGGTTTGGGAGAAATAAACATCCCGCGATCGCTAGTGGCCGCTGGACAAATAAGTGAGGCTTACGGGCGTTTTGTTTATTTTTAGACCAAAAAGTAATTTATTTTTAATCAGGTAAATGGCATTCTTCCATATATTTATAGTACTTTTAATATGCACAGAGATTCTGGGTATAATTCTCACGTTTTTTTTTATAAACTCACTTTTATTGTGAAATTCCGAGTTGGGGTTAGTTGAGCATAGTGGCTAAACTTGTTCTGTCACTAAGACAATTACCATTAACTTCCAGAAATTAATTATTATTTTTAAGATTTAAGCTAACTCTATGAGTAATAATATAAAAATAAAAATACTGAATATAATGGTAAAATAATTCCGAAGATACGATATTGTTTTGTTGATTATACTTTTCGTTAGTCATTTAAAGCAAATTATTATAAGTTTTGTTTTCTCTGTCAATAAAGACTATAAATATAGAACTGGTTATTAAAAACTTATTTTATTTCATCACTAATCGACATTGAACCTATGATTTCATTATACTTTCTTAGTGCTCAACTTGCCCCACCTATGGGGTACATCGAGCATACTTGACTTTTTGCATTTAAACAGCTGTAGCTTTTAAATTTTACATATTACCAAAAAAATAGTATTAACACTTTGTTAAGCGATAAACAACAAATCCATTGAGCCGTATAGCAATTTATTGAGACTTTTCATTGAGGAGCTACATCCGTTTAAGTAAAAATTCGCTTAACTAGCCCCGCCCTACCCTACTGGCAGTTGAAGTTGCTCAACTGCCAGTACATAAGTTAATAAATAAAAACATCACAAAGTGGAACAGCACTTACCACATGCTTAAAAGACTGCTAAAACAACGACCAGTAATTTCATCTGTTCTCAATGATCGCTCTGTGACAAATTGCTGAGCATGAATGGGCGATAATAGGAATGCTGGTAGTGATTTTGAGCCCTTTTGAAATAAGTACCAGCTTGCTCTTGCTTTTCTTTCAAATTATAATTGGCCAAGCTAGAATGATGAAAAAGACTTACTACATTTCCAGCTTTCTTTACAATATCATGAATATTACCCCCCCTATCTGTAAGAAAAGCATCCGGGCATCCGTGCCTACAGATGATTTAGTTAATAATGAACTCCGCCGCCACGTCTGCTGATTGATTTGATATCGCCTCTGCTTCCACCCATTTCGTGAGGTAATCAATAGCGACTATTATGTACCTATTTCTTTTAAGACTTAACGGAAAAGGCCCTAAAAATCCATCCCTAATAAATTGAACGGGTTTCCCACTGGTATTGGATTTAGTAATCCGGCGGGAGCTTGCTTTAGAGATTTCTTTGTTTATGATCTTACGTAATTGATAGTATCTTTCTTCATGTTATCCCAAAAATATTTCTTATGTAATCTACCGTATGTTTTTGCTATTCCTAGATGAGCGCCTGATAGCGGATCATCGTGATACGCGTGTAGAAGTTCTTTCTGTAAAGCTTTCGGGATAACCGGCAGTTTATTCGGAGTATTAGCACCCAAATCTTTACGATATAATGTGTTATCTACAATAACAAAACTTCGAGATTTTCTTTTTAATTCTACCGAAACCGCTTCCGGGTTTTCTAACGCCTGGAATATACGGTTAAGCACCGGATTTTTTAATTGCAAAGCACCCAACGTTTCTGAAAACTGTAACTGGAATACGCGGGATTTGCTTGGTCGCTTATTGGATACCTAGATAGCACGTCGGCGTCGGCATGTAATCAACCATTTTTATGTTTTATGTCGTAGTCAAATTCTTGCAATTTTATTGCCCAACGCGCCAGTTTACCCGCGGGGTCTTTATTTTTCTGTAACCAACAAAGCGCGTGATGGTCCGTAATTATTGTAAAGTGCTTCCGCCAAATGAAAGGTCTAAATTACTTAATGGCCCAAACTATCGCGAGGCATTCTTTTTCGGACGTGTTATATTTTCTTTCCCTTTCTAGTAACTTTTGTGAAGCGTATGCTATCGAATTCTCGCCTCTCTCTGTGCATTGAACAAGTACAGCTCCTAAGCCTATGTCGCATGCGTCCACATGTAAATGAATTTTAGCCGAATCATTAAAGTGTTCTAAAACCGGTCGTGAGGTTAAAATCTGTTTCAGTTTATTAAAGGCCGTATCTACGCTTTCGTCCCATTCGAACTTCGTATCCTTTCGAGTTAGGTTTGTCAAAGGTTCAGCAATCTTCGCGAAATCTCTTATAAACTTTCGATAAAAATTAGCTAATCCTATGAATACTCGAACGTCCTTTACGCGTTTCGGTGTTGGAAAATCTACTACTGCCAGGATTTTATCGGGGTCAGGCGAGATGCCCGTTTGTGCTACCACGTGACCTAAGATTTTGATTTCCGAAAAGCCTATCGTACATTTCTCCGGTTTTAGTTTAAGTCCCGCGTCGCGAATTCTGCTTAACACCGCCTTTAATCGCTCGTTATGCGCCGACAGATTAGGCGCCTTAATAATAATGTGATCTAAATATACTAAGCAACTATTCCACTTTAAAACTGCCAACACCCGATCCATGTACCTCTGAAACGTTGCCGGACTATTACTCAGCCCGAATGGCATAACGTTAAATTCCCAGAGTCCGTCGCCCGTTATAAAAGCCGTTTTCTCGCGATTGCCTTCCCGCACCGGTATCTGTCAATATCCGCTTTTCAAATCTAATGTTGAGAAGTACTCCGACCCGTTTAATGATGTCAAAATCTCGTCGATTAGCGGTAAGGGATATTTATCTTGCTTTGTCACCTTGTTCAATTTTCGATAATCTACGCAAAAACGCCACTCCCCTGTCTTTTTCTTAACTAACACTACCGGACTGGCCCACGGGCCTTTATACTCGCGAATTACCTTCGCTTCAAGAATTAGACTTCGCCGTCTGTTCTTGAAGCTTATTTCCGCGTTGGTCAATCGGTTAAAATCGTTTCCTAAGATAATAGCTGAATTTGGAGTGTCGATTACAAAAAGTTTGAAATTTAAATACGCGTTTTCATTAAAATTTATTAATATTACTGTGGTGCCTAAAATTCGAACAGGATTGTTAAATCCGAAACTCACAGCCCTACTCGCTTCTAATGGTTTGATAAATTTCTTGTTAATGAATTGTGATCCCGCGACAGATGTCATAGCCCCCGAGTCGATAAGGACTTCTGTTTGTATTTTATTGACCTCTAGTATAATGTACGTCGCTTCTAAAACAGCCGGTTCAGCCTTATTCGGTGACTCTCGCGGTATTTTTACTTCCGCTAATAGCGGCGTATTTGCGGCTGGCGTGCCCGAAAATTCTGAGAGTCGGTTCTGGCACCCTGCGTGTTATTAAATAATTCAGGACAGAATCTTTGATAGTGCCCCGTTCGATTACAATTATGGCAGACAATTCGACCCGTCATCGTCCTATCGTTTCGAAATTGTCCCCTATTCGGTCTATCGCGACTAGTTCTGAAATGCGTAGGGTCTCCGAAACTGTGCGAGCTTTGGTTGACTTGTAACGATTTAATCGTATCCGATAAAGATTCTATGGTATGGCGTAAAGCGCCTAATTCTTGCTCACCCTTATCTAAATCATACACGCACCTATATGCATCGGCCCGTGTATAATATACTTAAATGAAAACGACGATGTTGTCTTAGCCATGTATTTTAAACAACTATATTTTACATAATAATAAAAATAAAATCAAAAACTCAAAATGGCGGGTCAAAAGCCCCCCTACCAGATTTTGGTTATTTCTAAAGCACACCGTTAGATGGCGACATAATTAATTATATTTTATCCATATTCCCGCCCGATGCGTATGCATCCATCATTACAACAATTTGTAAAGTTTATTAAAGAATACAACCCGAAGATATATTAAGATATAACCTATGAATTGTGAAAAGAAATGACATGACATATAACCTAGACAATATAATAATATGTGACATGAGTTCTTAAACCTAGTATGCATGAATAATAAAGATATTAATATAATATAACATGATAACGGTATAAGGTTCAAAATTGTAAATGAATATGGACTTATGGATAACTAAATCTAACATGATATACTAAAAGATTTCTAAATGGAAATTTTAATCCTAAGGATAAGTATCATAAATTTTTTAATTCCTATTACTAAATATTTTGTAGTTCTGATAGATAGGCCTTTGACCACAAAAGCCAAAACCGATCTCGCATTGCTGTGATTTGCTTGTGTATGCTTAATCTATTGGTAATAACTTTGTCATTTATTGGTTCAGGGATGGCAGTCATAAGGTCTCCAATTAAAAAATGACTGGGACTTAAATATATAGTATCGGTACTGTCATCGCTTAAAGAGATTAATGGTCTGGAATTTAGTATGACTTCCACCTGTATTAATAAAGTCAAATATTCTTCATAGGTCAAACATGTGGATCCTATAACTCTATGTAAGTAATGTTTCATAGATTTGATATTACTTTCCCAGAGGCCTCCAAAGTGTGGAGCATGGGAAGGTATAAATTTCCATGTGATACCCATATTTGCTACACATTCAATAATGTTTTTTCTGTTGATTTCTAGTTTAAAAAATTTATACAGTTCATTTAATTGTCTACTAGCTCCAACAAAGTTTGTTCCATTGTCACTATGGATTGTAGAACATACACCTCTGCGTGAAACAAAACGCTTTAATGGAGCCAAAAATGATTTTGTTGAGAGCTCTGTAACCAAATCCAAATGTATAGCTTTTGTTGTCATACATATGTAGATGACAATATATGCTTTAGTTTTAGGAGCCTTTCTTAAACGACTAGATCGTATTAGAACAGGTCCTGCATAATCAATTCCAACTGACAAAAATGGTCGTTGACGTATAACCCTATCTCTGGGTAACGATCCCATTAATTGTTGTGATTGCTCAGCTCGAAATCTTTTGCATTTGATGCATTCTCTAATGATACCCTTAATTTGATTTCTTGCATTTATTGGCCAGTATTTTCTTCTTATGTTCATCAATACTGCCTGAGTACCTGCATGAAGTAAACGTTCATGTTCTTGTTTTATTATTAAATATGTAATCCGATGTCCTTTAGGTAATATTATCGGATGTTTATGTGAAAATGTAAGATCTGACTGGTCTATTCTACCACCCACTCTCAATATTCCTTCAGAATCAATAAATGGGTATAAACCTTTTAATTCTGAACTTGTGTTCAATCCTGTGTACTTATTACTTTCTAATTCATGAATAATTTTATTAAACTCTTCTCTTTGTGCTAATTTGATTATCGCATTGTGAGCATAATCTAATTCTCTGGTGCTCAAAGTTAATGTATCTTTATTATGACGATATTTTAATTTTAAGTTAAATCTCAAACAGTATGCAATAACTCTAATTAATTTATTAAAACTTGAATATTTTGAGTATATGTTTTCTGATTTTATATTGGGCTGGTTTATTTGCAGCACTTTTAGTTCTGGCATATCTTCTACTGGCACTTCTTCATACTTATTGCTGGGCCATTCTGAATTTGATAACAACCATGTTGGACCAAACCACCATAATCTATTATCAATTATTTCCTGAGGAGTGGCTCCTCTCGAAACTATGTCTGCTGCGTTGTCCTGTGAAGATACATGACTCCATATTATTCCGGATGTTGTTTCCTGAATCTCTTGCACTGTGTTGCTAACAAACATTTTTAGCTTGCTGGGATCAGTTTTTAACCATCCCAAAACAATGGTTGAATCACTCCACATGAACGTTTTGTGAAAATGTATATTGATTACCTTACTTATGTGCTTCACATAGTTCTAGTCGTGGCAGAGTCACATTCTTGATTGGTGCTACTTTTGATTTGGCAGTTAATAGCCTTGATGATATAGAATTATTGTTATATATTGCCCGAATATAGATGCATGCTCCATATGCTGCGATTGATGCATCAGCGAATCCATGGCACTCAATTTGTTTTATTGGTTCTTGGTTGAACATATACCGTTGAATCTTTATTTCTTTTAGAAGAGTGAACTGATTTTGAAGGGTTTTCCACTCTTCTTTAATTGTTGCTGGAACTTCTTCATCCCAATCAGTCTTCTGTTTCCATATCTTTTGCATTATCATCTTCGCCTTGACTACGACTGGGGCTATAAGTCCCATTGGGTCGAAGATTTGGGATATGGCTGATAAAATGGCTCTTTTTGTGAAAGTTCTTTGGAATGCTGATGGAATTGTTGCCTTAAAAATGTCTTCTGTCGGGTTCCATAATAACCCCAATGCTTTAATTATTCCAGTTTTATCAATGAAGCACGTATTTTCTAATTCTTGATTTTCTTGTGCAATTGTGTTTAAAAATTCTTGATTATTGCTGGACCACTTGTGTAGAGAAAATCCTCCGCGGCCAAGCATTGTCACAAGTTGATCAGATTTAATATGAAGATCTGCTATGGAGTTTGCTCCTGTTATTATATCGTCTACATAGCAGTCTTGTTTAATAATATCTGCTGCTACTGGTGTACTGCTTTCTTCATCCTCTGCTAATTTATTCAAAACACGAATTGCTAAATAGGGTGCGGAAGATGTGCCATAGGTTACTGTTGTTAATTTATAACAACGAATGTCTTCCTTTGGGTCACGTCTCCACAAAATCCTTTGCACTTCTTGATCTTTTTTAGCAACTTTTATTTGCCTGTACATTTTTGTAATATCTGTTATAAAAACATACTTCCAGCATCGAAATCTAATTAGTATTGATATTAATTCTTGCTGTAGCTTAGGTCCTGTATGTAAGATGTCATTTAATGATATATTATTAGATGTTTTAGCCGAAGCATCAAATACTACCCGCAACTTGGTTGTACCATATTCTTTTATAACGGGGTGATGTGGAAGATAATAAACTGGATTTTCTTGAGTTGAATGTTGTATCACTGTGGTTTCTTGCGCATGGCCTTACCGAATATACTCTTCCATAAACTCTGCATATTTATTCAAAAGGTTTTTATCTGATTTAAAGCGTCTTTCCAGGTTTAACAGGCGTGACTTGGCTAGATGGAATGATTCTCCAAGTTCTGACTTTCTATTTTCAATAAATGGTAGACTCACCTCATATCTTCCATTTTCATGTCGGTGAACTGTCTTTAAAAAGTGGTCTTCACAGATTTTGTCCGAACCCTGCATTGGAGGACTGCTGTCTATTTCTTCGATTTGCCAAAACTTTGTTATTTCGCAATTTAATTGATCATTGGAAATGAATCCTACATAACTCGGTTGCATCGATGGCTCCTTATATGGTCCTGAAAGCATCCATCCAAGCTTGCTGTTTTTCAACATGGGAAGTTTATAGCCTAGTTTTATACTACCTTGCTGTATGATTTCAAAGAATAATTCTGCTCCTATTAGTACGTCAACTGGCCCAGGATTTGAAAATGAAGGGTCCGCTAATTTTGTTATTTGGAATTTTCCAGTCACTTACATCAATTTTTCGTGCAGGTAAATTTGTTGTAATTTTATCTATTATAATACAGTTTATTGATCTGCTATATGAGCTATTAATTGAATTTATCTTGATTTTAGTTGATTTAGATACTCCTAGTGACTTGCCCTGTAGTACACTCAGAGTGTTTCGGGAATTAAATTGTGGGAGCTGCAGTCTTTCTGCTAAATCTTTTGTGACCAGGTTGGTCTGTGAGCCACTATCCAATAGTGCTCTTGCTTCACAAAGCTCCCCTCGAGTGTTTTCAATGTTGATGATTGCAGTGGCTAACAAAACGCTTATGGAATTGGACTCTTGTGAAAATAGTACCTTTTGCGTAGCTTCACTTCACTATCATTATATACATGCATCATTGTGTGGTGTTTCTTCTGGCATATTTTGCAATTCTGACTGAATTTACATACATCTGGTGAATGAGCAGGTTCTAAACATTTCTCGCAATGGTGATTAAGTTTTAAAATTTCCTGTCTTTGTGTTATTGGTAGTTTCTTAAATTTGAAGCAATTATATACACGATGTCCTTTTAATTTACAATATACACATGGTTTGTGCTGATTATCTTGAGACACTATATTTACAGATTTGATTTTAACCCCGGAATGTTCTATCTTTCCAGTCTTGGTTGCTGTTTCCAACGCACATGATCTGGTTTCAAGAAATTTATAAAATTTGTTTAATGTAGGTAGCTCTCCTTCTTGTTGTGATAGACTCCAAGCTAAACGAGTATGGTGATCTAATTTATTTGTGAGCTGAAAAACTAAAATTATGTCCCAGTAAACTGCATCTTGGTGAATTGTTACTAGTGACTGCGTCTGTTGCCTCGCTTGGTTCAAAAATGATCGTAGATTTTCATGTGAACCTCGTAGTATAGGTTTTATGTCATTTAGAGATTGTAGATGTGATGTAATTATTAAGTATTTATTGTTGTATCTATCTTGCAGTAAATTATATGCCGTGTTGTAATTTTCATTGGTCATAGAAAGATTTGATATTAAGTCAGATGCTGGTGATTGTAATGTCCCTTTTAAATAATGAAGTTTTTGAACGTCTGACAATTGCTCGTTGTTGTGTATAAGTGAATTGTAAATATCTATGAATGCATTCCATTCCGAATAATTTCCATTGAACTTTGGTAAATTTATGTCTGGAAGTTTGATGTTAACTTGCCTATGTTTTAAATCTATATTTGGTTTGTTTTCGTTAATGCTACTTTCTAAGATATCTTCAATTTGAGCTGACAATTCAAAATGTAAATCAAATAACTCCTCATACTCTTTTGAGTAAGTTCCTGGACATCTAACATCTAATTCAGTTTGATTTTCTTCTAAACTTTGAAGAATCTCAACTAGTTTCTTTTTTCTGAGGATTAAGCCATGTTTGCTATCTCCTTCTCGAAAGTTATTAATAAAATTCTGAATAAGCGCGATAGATTTTATCAATCGAGCCCTTTGTTGTTTGAGCGTCTCAATGTCCGCCATTTTAAATTTTACAAGAAACGCACGTGTAAAATATACGATAGTTTATATATAAATTTGCTACCGCAATTTGTTTAAATCCGTAGTTTTGTATGTAATGGAAAATTATATTGATATATAATAGGAATATGCTCCTAATTCCTATCCCGATTTATTAAATAACCACAATGACAAAGTATACCGTACATAGACTAAACCTTACAAACAATTATACTAAGCAATTTTGAAATGGTTTTAGACTAATTGTGGACTTACTTGTATTTCCAATTGTGATCTTTAGTTGTAGTTGTTCCAATTCCAGTGAACTCCAGGCGACGCTTCCAAGCTTTAATGGCGGCTTCTCAGGTTCCCGGGTTTTCATTCACGTAGAGCTTTGTTTGGCTTTATTTTTTGACGAACTCGCGTATATTAAATTGTAAAGTGTGGACTGTAATTTTTAATCACTGGATCCGGTTCGAAGGACCAAAATGTATAATATACTTAAATGAAAACGACGATGTTGTCTTAGCCATGTATTTTAAACAACTATATTTTACATAATAATAAAAAATAAAATCAAAAACTCAAAATGGCGGGTCAAAAGCTCCCCTACCAGATTTTGGTTATTTCTAAAGCACACCGTTAGATGGCGACATAATTAATTATATTTTATCCAGCCCGCAATAGCGACGATGTGAATAGCTGTAACGACTCGTGTGAAAACTGCGCGGCTTGTATAATTAACGATCGCGGACGTAACCCTCTAGTTATGTACCTTATAATGCTCATTTCGCTCATGTTATGATCTACTCTATCGCATAAATCAGTCATTTCCAGGATATAGCTTTGCAAATCTTATCTGACCCCTATCTGACCATCTATTTATTTTCGCCGCTTGTTTATATTCTGTTAAAAATTCTGAAACTGCACCCTTACCCCCAAACTTTCCACAATGAAAGACCGGGTATCTAGCAACCCCGACGTGACTCGACGCGTTACTCGCGCCCGCAGAAATTTCGACCCCCGTGTCGCTCGTTCCTACATCAGCTCGCGGTTGGTTTCCGTCGCTGTTCGAATTTTCGTCGCTATTACGTGCAGCTTGACGAGTTACAACACGATTGTTCATGTTGCTGGTAGACGGCATACTTCTTATAAACTAACTATATTTGCTTTCTTACACTTTATAACTTCAAAATGAAATAAACCGAGAGCAACCCCCAAAATCACAAAAATATCTCAAACGACGAAAAACGATAAAAAAGGCATACAATTGTACAGGATAAAAATGTAAGTCTGGATTGTTTTGCTTAAACTTTTACGGTATTGATATCAATAATATGAAAGGTTCTATAATATTATCACTTACCCTAGTCTTAATTTATAATCCTCTTAATTTAATGATTTCTATTCCTTATTCACTAACTTCTAACTTATTTAATATACGATACCTTAAACTTAATTGTACCTAATCACGTGTTCATGGGCACCACTAAACTTAGCACTATTATCCTTTGAATATTCTAGTTTATAACCGGGTCTTAAACTTAACGGTGTCTGATTATTATTTGCTTACTTTTAATTTACATCAACTGCGCGCGCACACCAAATTGTATTTACCGCATGCTCTTGAACACCACTGTTATTTATTTTCATTATTATTATTATTTAAAAAAAACACACACAAAAAAAATCAAATAAACACTCTAATTTATTATTTCAAATTTAATTGACCGACGTCGGAATATTGTTAATTTCTGCTTTATTCGATGAAAAAAATAACGACGTAATAAAACTCCACACGCATCTGCTGGCACCAAACTCGACACGGGATTCACACAAATTTCTATAATACTGTATTTAATTTTCTTATTAGCATTTAATGATTTTTTTGCTATTATTATTTGTTATTATCCTATTTTGTTTAATATTACACTAATAACGTACATATGTAATCACTAACGTACATATGTAATTATTTCTCTATTTGCTCACGCGTGAACTTCGACTAATATGTATCTATCCTACATTTAACTTTCTTTTCCAGTTCATCCCCCTCTGTTCATTTCTTTTCTATTCTTTCCATCTCGTGTCCTACGCCTAATCGTTCCTATTTGCGTATTTGTCGCTTCGGTACTTGCTATGCGTCTTTCCTATATCTTGTACACGCCCCTTTTCCCGAATAATAGTTCCGTCTCACATAGACCGTACGCGCTCGCAAATTTATCTAACTAAATATTACTACGTATCTATTAATTATCTCCTATTTTGCGATCATGATCTTACTAAATTATTGCATTCCTTATTCCTATTTACCTTATCTATACTTAAATAAACATGTGACTGCCGTCTTGTTGCGCTAATGGAATAATTGCAAAATAACATAACCGGTTGAATGAAAGGGACGAGAAATCTATGATTTTTTTTTTAAACTGAAGAAAATAAATTTTTTTCGATGTTTCCTTTAACGATCTTTTCTACCGGAAAACTAAATATCAATCATTACGTACGACGAACAAACACTCTAACAATAATTAAAAAAAATAGTAATAATAACAGCTCTAAATATTTTTTAAAAGTGACAACCATAAAAAAACTATCAAATATAAAAATAAAATTTCTAATCCCATTTCACTATTGGCAGTATGAGCCGTATCAACCTTGATGTCAGTGGGTTCGACTGATTACAATTAGATCGGGGTGGCTATTTCCGCTCTAATTGAAAATCACCAAAGACACCCTGATCAATTCAAATGCATATCGAAAATCGGTGTCACCAAGAGCTTTTGCACTGAATTATATACAAGCTATCCAGGTGGTGGTGATCTACCTAACAAAATTTGCCACAATTCAAATCCCTGTAACCAGTTGTTTTCGACGCATTCCCAAATAAATATTCGGCACCTTATATACACGGAGGCGAATAACTCCGCAATTCTCAAAACTGCTCTAAATTTTTAAATAAACTAAATAAAAAAAAAATACTGTAACGCAATAGCGCAAACAAAACTAAACTAAAAAAAGAAATTCGCTCGTATTTTACAAATAGCCACATGTGTTCGAAAATGATTGTAAACCCCTGGCCGAGACAAAAAAACGGATTCCTACAAATTTTAAAACCTATCATCTTACAACTATTCTAAAGTCCAACTTTCTAAAACACTAAAAAAAAACTTTTAAATTATTGCATCACGAGTGCATACCGCCCGCGATGCGGCTCATGTCGCAATTCTCGGACGTGCGACCCCACGTACGGACGGGACCGTCCTCAATTTCAGTTCCGCGTTTCCTATTTTTTTTTTGATTAAAGCGTTTTCGCCACACGCATTTTCGAAGAATACTCAAAACCCTAGAGTCAAATCAATCAACTTTGTCAGTTTCAAATTTCTAATTCCGTTTTATTTATTACTATTCTCCTTGATTCATGCTCTCATTTATTATCGTTGTTACATTTCGCGGTCGTTCTACAACCTTACCGTGATGTCGCGATCCTGTAAGGTTACTTTGAATCTACTAATGAAAAGGCGTTTGTTCGTTACTTAATTAACTAACCTATATTTAAATATAATAATCCCTAATTCTAAAACATTAAAACATTTCTTATTCAACATACAACTTATTCTAGGCTTAGCTTAACCACGGCGCAACCAGTGTCCATCACATGTCCATACATCGGGCCCGATTCACATCAATCACTTAACAATCACATTTTCTAATTACACTAATAATAAGTCTACATTCGGTTGGGGACAGCTCCCGAAACGCTGTTCCCCCATGACGTCCTCTAGGCTACATTAAACATTTTATTAGCATCTTTGTTCGCCGGACCGCACGTTTGCCGTCTCACACCCTCACCACGACTACATCAAGACTGTTCCTAGACTCGTAATGCCGCGGACTTTTGACACCCTCAGAGATGGTTCTCATACGCATATAGTGGGAAGGGTAGTAATGTGTTATTTTACATCCGTGTGTGGGTCCTCACCCACACATTCGTAACAATATTCTCGATCTTGTCCAGCTCATTCTGAGTTTTATATGCAAGCTCCAATGCAGCTATAGCCACACATGTGCACTCTCTATTATTTCCGTGGTAACAAATTCAATAGGAATATGTAGTGATTCAATATAAAAAACATTATTTTTTAAATATTATACTGTACCTTTAAAAGAAATTGTCAGAGGGACTGCTTTAACGTGGTCCTCTGAGCACTTGAGTTCTGCTGATTTAGAATCTTCGATTCGATAGAGCAACTATCTGCTCTACCATGCATTTTCCTGAACAATATTTTCCATTAATTTTTTTAGCAGGAACATCTAAGTCGCCGTCCACACTAACAATCATATTATCAAGAAGTGCTTATCATCTAAATTCAATATTTTCTGTTAAAAATATATTAATACATTTTATGAAATAATCATTGAGATATACAGACCGCTAATAGCCAAAACCTTCGCTTTGCTACTGCCTGCCTTAACTTTATTGCCTTTTTTCTACTTTAATTTTATAATTGCATTCACATATCTATCTGTAGAGCAAATACCCCTCAAAGAAATATATCCGTACAACGGGGATTTGATTCCAACCACAACACACTAACGCAAACATTTTTGTTCTAGGCATTTTTATACAAATTGAAATAGCACAATTTAAACCAAAACGAAACACAACAAGTAAACCGCGCAATTATCAAATCACTCTACCGACGCCGACGCCATTTTGCTATTCTCGGGATTTTAGTGTGTCACAAAAACCAGATGTTGATAACAGGTTGACTGCCGACCGTAGTGTTGTGCCATTAGTGTGGAAATTTATAAATATACATATGATTCAGAATATGAGTAACACTTGGTTATATTTATAACGAAGTTTATTCACAGAAAAATATAGAATTGAATTTAGAAACTAACTTTTGTATACGAAGTGTAAGTTACGGTGGTTCAAAGTAGAGAGAGTTTTGCCGGTTTCTCCTTTCCAAACCCGGCGTCCTGGGTTGCCAGAGCAATCATGTTTGTTCTTCCGAAGC